GTCACATAATATATATATCACGTGGTTGTCACATGGTGTATATCACATGCTTGTCACATAATATATATATCACGTGGTTGTCACATGGTGTATATGACGTGCTTGTCACATAATGTATGACGCATGATTTATCATTTGCATCATTTCACACTTATGATGCCTTTTTTCATCACAGAATCTCGCAAGGGGACAAGTTTGCAAAGGAACTTTATCTACCTCAGCTGGACAAGCTCAAGACGCATCTCTCCAAGGAATATCCCAAGAAATTCAACTCTGTCCCCAAAAGCTCCATGTTTACTCGCATCCACAGCGATCACCAGGTAACACTTAATTATATCTTTGTATTTTTTTCTGTTGTTTGTCGGTTCATGTTTCTCATTCTTTCCTGGCTTTCAGAATTCATCTTCTCCTCTATCACCGCCATCACCAACTTCGTCTTCGTTTTCCTGGGATTCTGGTTATATGTCAGCATCGTCAGCATCTTTGGTGTCTTCTATGGAATCAGCATTACCTTATTCTCCTGTGTCATCGCCATTATTATCATCATCATTCCGGGATGCAATGTTGCTTGGTTCAGAAAGCGAAACTGGAAAGGATCTAACAATAACGATATCGGAACTATCCTCTTCTTCATTCCAAGTGCCCTCATTATCACTGTCTTTATCTTCATTGTCATCATCATTAAACGAATTACCAAGGGAGACACTGATAGCACAAGACATTTCAACATCAGCTGCTCTTTCATCATCAGCTTCATTTGAAACATTGGGAAATATTTCCTCGTCTTCGCTGGGATTAGATACTTTTGGAATGTGTTTAAGGTATTCACAATCAAATGAACGTTTACAAAGTGGCGTGAGCTCTTCAGTTGTGCGTCACAATAACGTTACTTCGCTATCAAGAGAAACTGAACCACTACGAACAGCAATACAAGATAGTTTACCTGCAATGGATGATACATTAGAGCCATGGACATTATGGGAACAATCTAATAATTCTGACTCTACATCGTGGTCACCAACAACACCATCACAATCACCACTACCGTCATCATCATCATCCTCAATATCGTCATCATCATCGTCATCATCATCATCATCATCATTTTCCTCATCATCTTCAGCAGGAGCAGCACATTTGCTAACATCCTCATATTCGTCTTCATCGGCATCGTCATCATCGTCATCATTATCGTCATCATCATCATCAATATCGTCATCGTCATCTTCAACATCGTCATCATTATCATCACCATTATTAGTATCTCCAATTCCGTCACTATCGTCACAACTAAGTATAAACTCTTCGTCAAACGGTGAATACGGCCTGCAAGCTGCACGCAATACTCGAGTAAGATTTGCAGATGAGCCGTTACTATGGCAATATGAAGACGAGGAACACGAGCTGAGAATCAAAACACTAGAAAAAAGGTAGGAATTGTAATCACGATAAAAATCGCAGCCGCTAGCGTGGCGAGAGTGGTTAGAATGTACTAGTCAGGGTCGGGAGAAAGGCGCGTGCTGCGTGTTTGACTAAAAGTGCCCGCCAAAACCACACGATAAATTGTAGATAAAGAACACTTTTAGTCCAGTAGTGTAGTACCAATCACAAGCTGAGTTTTAAGAGGCTTTGCACCATCACGTGATAGCAGCCATAACAGGAGAGAGAGACAACTGAATCTGGTTTAATCTGATTTACATGAGAAAGAGTTTCCCATGGAAAAAGAGTTCCTTGTTGTGCCTTTTGTCATGGCTGCTCTCACATGATGGTGCAAAGCCTCTATTGCTTCCTTAGCACTTTACCTCTTTGGTTAGGTTGGGAAACCAATCTATTGTCCTTTAAAGGTGGCTCTGTTAATCTATGAGCCTATCTTTGTCTTGAACCCTAGGCTAGCATAACACTGACTGGCTATACTTATCGCGCCTAGATGCTCTCTCAAGTAAACAAATGGATCATTTTTCTTTTTACAGGGTATTTTCCCAAAGACTCACGCGCAGTACGGGAATAAGTAAACTAAACATGGCTGATACAGACTGACAACGTGGTGTCTCCAGGGTCTGATTCACGATGTATGGTGTACAATAAGAACAACTCTCCAAAAGAAGAAAATTTAAGAAATAATCTAATTTTCTAATTTCTAAATATTATATACAAAAGTGATAACTGCCACTTCGAATTCAACTCTCCAGAACGAATTTAAACCAGAGCCATAGACAGGAAGTGGCTTTGATCCATCCTTCCTTCCAATAGGCCATTACATGATGCAATCATTCCACCACCAATAATGGACTACTTCGACGATGTCGACCTTCAAATGTTATCCATAGATTAAAATCAAACAACCTTATTTGGCTGATCAAAGCTTGGGCAAAGTTAACTCACAACTGGAATAGTACGTTTGCATGATCCTATCCTATYCTCATGAGGGAATACAAATTTAAATAAGAAAGAAATTTCGCGAAGCATCTTGGTAGTGGGAGTCATATGATGCCATCATGTCATAAAATTAAACGTTTTTAACGATGAGAGGAGAGCCGTATATCCTATCTAACTATAGCAAAAACAATGCAGAGAACTAACCAACTCTCTTGAAAATATGTGATGCAAGACTAGGATTCGACCCTAAAAAAAATAAAAGAGGCGTTCGAATGCACTACCACTACACCAGTACTCTACCCAAAATCAAATATTCTGTCAATTTAGAATGATGTAACATATCTCTCATGAAAATATGTAAAAAGTTCATTAAACATTTCAAGGTTATTAAAAACACTTTTTTAAGAAAAAGTTTAAATTCCAGTTGAATGTTTTTCACATGCATCATTTCTGGTTAATATAATTTCTAACATTGAAAAAAAATCAAGTAGTTTTTGGTGGTTTTTACCAAATGGCATTGAATATCGCTCATTGTTGTCAATTGTTGTGATGAAATTGGGGTCCTTTTCGGACCCTCCAATCAGGGTCATTTTGGGCAATTTCTGACCAAAAAGCATGGACTATAGCCCATGGTTTTGATCGATTTTGGACCATTTTCACACCTTTTTAAAAATTAGGCATTATTTATGAAGAATGCMAAATAGGTCATTTGAGGTCATTTCGGACCAAAATGCCTCGACTATAGCCCATGGTTTTGATCGATTTTGCCCCATTTTCATACCTTTTAAAAATTAGGCATTATTTATGAAGAATGCAAAATAGGTCATTTTGGGCCTTTTCTGACCAAAAAGCATAGACTATAGCCTATGGTTTTGACGGATTTTGGACCATTTAACACCTTTTTAAAAATTAGGCATTATTTATGAAGAATGCAAAAAAACGTCATTCTGGGCCATTTGTGACCAAAAAGCATAGACTATAGCCCATGGTTTTGACGGATTTTCGACCATTTTTACACCTTTTTAAAAATTAGGCATTATTTATGAAGAATGCAAAGTACGTCATTTTAGGCCATTTGTGACCAAAAAGCACGGACTATAGCCCATGGTTTTGATCGATTTTGCCCCATTTTCACACCTTTTTAAAAAACAAACATTATTGATGAAGAATGCAAAGTAGGTCATTTTAGGCCATTTCTGACCAAAAAGCACGGACTATAGCCCATGGTTTTGATCGATTTTGGACCATTTTCACACCTTTTTAAAAATTAGGCGTTATTTATGAAGAATGCAAAGTAGGTCATTTTAGGCCATTTCTGACCAAAAAACATAGACTATAGCCCATGGTTTTGATCGATTTTGGACCATTTTCACACCTTTTTAAAAATTAGGAATTATTTATGAAGAATGCAAAGTATGTCATTTTAGGCCATTTCTGACCAAAAAGCATAGACTATAGCCCATGGTTTTGACGGATTTTGGACCATTTAACACCTTTTTAAAAATTAGGCATTATTTATGAAGCGAATGCAAAAAAACGTCATTCTGGGCCATTTGTGACCAAAAAGCATGGACTATAGCCCTTGGTTTTGACGGATTTTGGACCATTTTCACACCTTTTTAAAAATTAGGCATTATTTATTAAGAATGCAAAGTAGGTCATTTTGGGCCTTTTCTGACCAAAAAGCATGGACTATAGCCCATGTTTTCGATCGGTTTTGGACCATTTTTACACCTTTTTAAAAATTAGGCATTATTTATGAAGAATGCAAAATAAGGTCATTTTAGGCCATTTCTTAACAAAAAGCATCGACTATAGCCCATGGTTTTGATCGATTTTGGACCATTTTCACACCTTTTTAAAAAGTAGGCATTATTTATGAAGAATGCAAAGAAGGTCATTTTAGGTCATTTCTGAACAAAAAGCATAGACTATAGCCCATGGTTTTGATCGATTTGGCACCATTTTCACACCTTTTTAAAATTAGACATTATTTATGAAGAATTCAAAATAAGGTCATTTTGGGGCATTTTTTAACAAAAAGCATGGACTATAGCCCATGGTTTTGATCGATTTTTCACCATTTTCACACCTTATTAAAAATTAGGCATTATTTATGAAGAATGCAAAAAAAGGTGATTTTGGTCCATTTTTTAACAAAAAGCATGGACTATAGCCCATGGTTTTGATCGATTTTGCCCCATTTTCGCACCTTTTAAGAACTAGGCATTATTTATGAAGAACGCAAAATAAGGTCATTTTGGGCCATTT